AAAGGTTCCAGTGAAAGCTTGGTCCCTGTGGCACTGAGTCAGAGATGGTCTCAGCACACACGAAATCTCCCACTCTCACATCCACCTCTTGCCTGAGGTGTAGGTGTGATACCCAGACCCTCATTTGGGGTTGTGATTTCCAGCAGCCCCCTGGCAGTTTGGTGCTCACTGGACAACATTTCATTACTGTTGTTGCCCTTTAGTTCGACTCTGAGCTCTTTAGTTTGCCCCACAAACTGCTGATCTATGGATATGAAAAACTGCAGCCATATCCATTCTGGAAGACGTCCTGACTGTCTAAGCAGATTTAAGAAAATCACTGGTAATAAATCTTCCAATATTTCCTTTGTATATGAAGTGGTATCTCCGTTTCCAATTTCCCCTGATACATTTTATTCTGTGATTTATATCCCATGCAGAAGCAATGCTTTTTAAAATATAGGAAAAGATCTAACAATGCCCAGCTGTAATAAATGGTTTGTAGTTAAATTGTTGCCCCAGTTTAGAGACACCAGGAGGTGAACAGCCTGCGGTTCGGAAAGGATTGAGCAACCATCCTTTGTAAACTAGATCCTTCAAGGGAACATTAAGGTGGGAATCCCAGAATTGAGTGTTGGAGTGCTTAAGTGCTTAAGCCACTTAAAAATATTTAGCACAGAGAGCTCACCTGACAATTTGAGAGCACTGGAGTGCTCACAGGATTTGCATAGATGAAAGATTTTATGGTAGACTAGCACTGCATTGCCGGATTCCTGTTTGATATATAATTTAATTTGGAACTTAAAGTTGCTTAGGTTATTTGATTCTTTATTGTGTTTATTGAGGATGTGCTCTGTGAAAATGTTCACAGATTTTACAATCAAAGGAAAAGAAGGATTCCAGGAGTTTAAAGATGAGAGCGTGTTAACCCCTCAGATTTAGGAGAACAGAGCATTGAACAGCAGATTATATCTTGCTTACAGGGTGGGGAATGTGTACTACCGAACTGGCATGCTTAAAAAATTTGACAATGGATGTTAACCACCTGGCCACAACACTGAAAGAATCTGTTTTAAGAAGTTGTGTAAATAAACTTTGATAGTTTGCATAATAACATGTTCTTATCATCTCTGAAGCTCATGAGTTCAAACAGCAGGACAGGGGAGATTAGCAACAGGAGCCTTTCTTTGGAAATGAAATTCAAATTCATCTGTGTTTTGAACAGACTGGAACATTTTTTGCCACCAGTAGAAGCTCTCACAGACATATTATAGAATTCCTTCTTTTTGCATTTTTTACATATTTATTTTGTATGATAAATGGTACTCTCATGCTTAACTCAGGGCTTTTAGTTCCTTTTTCACACTGCAGAAGGTTTTCATTAAAAACACAGAAAATGAAGTACAACCTTTTAAATATCAGGCTAAGGAGAAAAAAAATCTAGGAAATGCTTTTTATGACAGGGCTATTTAAATATAATCACATATCTGTCATCATGCAGGCCTGCTTATAACAGGCTGTCAGTTCTCCTGGAGAGGTGGTGATCTGCAGTCGAGGGTTTTAAATAAGGAAGTGTAGGATTTTTAAAAATCTATAATGGGCATCTAAGAAAGAATCTGTAATTTTCATCATTTAAGTCTATTACAGCAACACTCATCAATCCCAAGTTAGGGCTACAGCCCCAGTGGGGTAGGCACATGAAAATAGGTGTGTGCTTAAGCAGCTACATATTTATCTACAGGCAGACCTCAGCTACAGTGAATAAACTCTCTGCAACCAGCAGAAATGCATCTGGACAATGAAGCATCTCCATAATTTGGAAAATCTAGGGCTCAATAGGTGTTCTGAAAAGACCACCGTCTTCCAAAACAGATCTTTTATAGAATTTGTCTTCTAGGGTGTTTGCTCACAGACACTGTGTCTAAATCAGCAAATTAAAGCTGTGTAGGAGCTTTCCTTGGCACTGAGGGGACCTGGCATGGAAAAGCACAGATACTACTAGACACACTGCTTGTAAGCTGCCTGACCCTGCCAACAACTCAGCCCTACCTTGGAAAATTTTAGAGCTGTGGTATTTGCAGGCATCAGGCAGGCCAAGGACTATTCTAACAACTTGCCCTTACTGTACTGATCTGAAATATCTCACTTTTATTTCATTGCACTCCCTCTGCATGTAATGTCCAGCTTCTGTTTCTTACTTTATTCTCAGACTGTTGGTTCCTCTGGGCAGGCAGCTCCTGCTCTGCACAGCCTTTCCCTTGCCATGGCTGGGCTGGGCAGCAGGGGCCTCGTTCAGCACCTCCACATCTGCCATGTACAGTTCATCAGGACACGCAGTGATGGCACTTAAATTTTCTTTCTTGGTAGAAAAAAAGTATTATGAGAAAAAATTTACTCTGATTTAGAAGTGATTTTGTCAGTCAAAACCGAGAATACCTTCCAAAAAATATATATTTTCAACTGTAAAATAAACAAACAAACCAAAGTTAGGGAATCTGGGGGAAAAAAAAGAACATAAGATAATAGCTTTTTTTTTTTTCTGAATTTTATGATTCTTAGATGCTTATTTCCCAAGTTAATATCATGTACTAGGTGTTTTACACTTCAAGTCCCTCCATTTTACAGAAAAGGGAAAACACCACATTGTTTCTTCCAATATTTACCTTAGATACTATATTACCTTAAAAGAAAAATCAACCAGGGGAAGGTGTGAAAGAGTTAAAAAGGCAGTTTTAGTGAAGAGCTGAGCACAGGATTCCACACATACTGGAAAGAGGCTTTGCAAGTTAGTTCTAATAAAACATCAGAAAGCAAGGTTAGAATATCAGACAGGAATTCTTCAGGATTAAAGGTAAAAATAAACCAGGCCAGGCCAGAAGATTTATGTATGATTGCAGAACTTCTCCAAAAGAAAGGCTTTCTGACCATCCATCTGTCTGGGTGGTTACACTGCAGTCAGAGCACTCCATAATTCCCCCCTGGCACGGAGGTCTCACACAACTCCATCTCAGGGCAAGGCTTCCACACTCCCTTATTGACCAGAGACATCAAACCTGGCAGATTGCTGGTCTCAGTTATAAATGCCTGTCATTACCTCCTGCCTGGGCTGCAGCTCTGCAATACTGGAGGTGAAATCACCGCTATTTCATGAACTACAGCAGAGTCAGGGCACAGCAGCGTGTCCCAGCGGCAAAAAAGGGGCTATCACATCTTTCTTCTCCACTGAGACAGGCCTCCCATGGAGCAGTCCCATCCAACTGGTACTAACAGGACTTTGACTATTGTCTTTTTTTCAGAAGAAACAAGCTGTGGTCCAAACAGCCCAAAGCCTCTCCCTAAAAGAGGGAGCTGAGAGCTTCCACTCCATCCTGTACCCCTTTGCAGGAGCAGTGGCAGCACATGTAGCAAAGAATAAGGGGATAATGGGAAGCAGCTTCTGATGCTGTGTGTGGAGAAATATGGAAAGAACAGCTTATACAGAAGAGAAGATCAGTGGCTGAGGAGATTCAATCCTTCTGCCCTATTTCTAATCCTTCAAGTTAAATCAATGAAATTGTTCACGATCTTCCAGATGCTCAGTGCCAAAAAGTCAGGTAGGTGCTAAGAAAGATCACTGATCAGTAACTCAGACTTCCATATAAGGGTAACAATCAGCAGTTCAGGAGACAGCCTTGTGGCTTCTCCAAAGCCATGGAGTGTACTTCTATGGGAATTAAATATACCCACAAACCTCACCTCCTACAGACACTGCAAATGTGCCCTTTGCAACAGCCTGCAATGGGAAGGCCCATCCCTTCCCTCACATGAGTAGGATCTGCTGTATTTTGGTGGAAGTCTGAGGTCACAGTTCAGGATCAAACCCTATGTCTGATACTATTTTTGCTTTTTATCTGTTTCAACCAATTGTCTCTTTATCCACTGGAACCAACTAAAAAAGCCAATAAATATTACGAAGACAGATGCAACTCTAGCCAACTTCAACATTTTTTCAGCATGTGATCAAACATCCCTATAAAAAGCATGATAAAATCTTTGGATCCTTTAGGACTTGAACCTGGAGAGACATCCAGCTCAGCTGAACTCCATGTGCCCTTCCGGAATTCCTAGACTAAGGACATAATCCTTTCAGTTCAGGGAAGGTTTTTTTCATTTATTTGCTTATACATTGCTGAAGCTTCAGTGGAACGAGCAGTGGGAGATTTGTCTACAAACAGCAAGGCAAAAGCAAGACATTGGAACGATGGAAGCAGAAATTCAAATTTTGTACAAGCCATTCGCTTTATTTTTCTGGCTCCCAAATCAATTTTAAAAGCTGCTTTGATAAGATTAAGCACTGCCAGGGAAATAAACCTGTCATACCAACTGTTATTACCATTTATATTACCACACTTCTCAGGAAAAACTCCATGGCATTGGGTGCTGTGTAAACACACAGGAATAAGAAAGTCCCATGTCCACAGAGAGCTTACACTGAGATCCTACAGCTGATGGACAACACGAGGCAACAAACAGTACAGCACAGCCAACAGTCAGAGTCTGACAGCAAACAATGAGATATTGTTGGTTTAAGAGTGATTTTAGTCCAGGAAAGCCTAAAGGTTGACACTGGTTCAGTATTGTAAGAAAGGCTTTGATAACACTGATGAGGAAATCCTTTTAAAAATTAAGGGTAGCCTCAGAGGTACTTTGTGCAATATTTGCAAGAATAATAGTGGATAATGGTGCAGACAGATAAAAAGAGGCTGGAGTTGGTATATCTTGAAAAAATCTTGGGAAATACCTTGCAGATAGGAAATGACTATGCTGTGAGGCACACTGAAACCTGCGAAGGTGCAACATATGCTTGATATTAGAGAGAGCTGACAGTTGAATTCAAGAAAGCCATGTTTCAGTCATCACCCTTCAGGCTATGAAACCAACACTTGGCAAAGACACATTTTGGATAGGTAAGAGGCAGGACAAGATTCTGTAACTAACACGGTGTATTGTAGAAACTGAGACATGAGATAGAAACCTTGAACAAATGTTCAGACTAGAGAGAGCAGAGAAGGTGGAGATGGGGAAGATGCAGACCATTCAGCCAAGGATATGATGAAGTTGCAGTTTCCAAAGTATGCAGAGATTTGGAGTAAAGAGAGCTACAAAGGCAAACAAAATGAAAATTTCAAAACTAAAGGACTGGTTGTATATGTTGAAGGCAGCTGGTAAACCAAGAATACTGATGATAGCTGGCTAAAAATGCATCATTAGAAACCTTGCTGAGAGCAATTTCAGTGGCCAGCATGGCCAAATTAGTGGGATGTAATACAGGAGTGAGAGAGAGGAAGCCAGACCTCTTGTTAACAGCACATTTCATGAATGTAAAAAGGGAAAGGGAGGTACTGCTTAGTAGTATTTTTTTTTTCCCAGTACATGAGAAACTAAATTATTTTTTCTTTTGAGTTATAGGAGTCAGTCACTGCGCTGGCAAGCTCTGGGAGAACTAATTAGAGAGATAAATGTAGAGTGAAAAGGATCATGTGACAGTCACTAAGAAAAAACTTTGCAGAGATTAACAAGAGAAGCACAATAATGTAGGAATAAATGCTGCCTGAGAGAAATGTATAAACTCCTCTGTCCAGTTAGAAGCAGGAAAATTCATTTATTCCACCTAAGGGTCCAGCCCTCATGTGGTTTATATCACAGAGTTAAACTTGTGACTGAATTGAGTCTCTTCCCAAACTGAGGAGAACTCAGTAAGCAGCCTTTAATGCTGAGGTTTACTACTGAACTGCTGTGCTGGAACATTCAGCATTCCTCACCAACTTCCTTAGCTGACAACAGACCTTGTGCTGTAAAGCTGGCAGGTCAGAATTGCTTTGGAATAACTTGATTCCTCTTTCTGAAAATTTCTGTAAACATTTCTGAGTTTAAAATACAACAATTTTCCTAGACTGGGATTTTTTGCAAATAGCAAATTAACTCTTTCCTGACACCTTTTTAATTGTAAATAAAACTTCCCTTTGAAACTGTGAGAAGCTTGAGCATGGATTAAATCCTCACCAATTTTTGCTTATTGCTGCACAAGGTACTCCATACGCTTTCTGCATTTTAGGAGAAGGTGGAAAACAATTACTATGAAAGGTTCATCTGAGCTGGGCTGTTCCTGGAAAGCAGATGTATGTCTGCTCTCAGGTGCCTGTAGTAAGGTAGTCTCCCCTGCTGTCAAAACAAAAACTGGGATATGCAGAGGGTATCATGGTGATACTGCTTCACAGTATATGAAGCAGGAAAGACCCTGTACCAAGTGTATAAGAAAAATATATAATCTTGTGATTACAGGTGATGCGCTTAGATAGACCAGAGGCAGGTCACAAAGTTGCTGAGGCTCTCCATCCACTATTATTCTTGCAAACATGTAAAAATACTTTTTTTTTTTTTTTTAATCAGTAAGCTTGCTACATATTGGAAAAAAGATGCTTATGCTTCTGTATAAAATATACCATCCATCCTATTGCACTTCTCTTGGTTAAGATCTGCATTTTTCCTGTATTTCGTGCACTTGCATGTAGCCTGAGCCTCCTATAAAGAGAATCGTTCTGTTCAGCATCCTGAAGTAAATAAAAATTTTAATCCCTTGCTAGTTTAAATTCATAACTAATCCTGTTATGATTCAGTAAATGTTTCATTTTACACTTAGCAGTGAATTTGTGAGGCAAATTTTTGTCACTCTCTGCTTGAGACTCCATTACACCCTCTGCACCGTCCTCGTAAGGTCTAAGAAGTTCTGCCACATACACATCTGATTTGAATCTGTGATAACAGCAGCACTTTATGGCACTTCCACTGCTAAGAACATGGCAAAAATGCAAATTAAATCCATCTTCACTCAACTGCATAAAGGAAAGGAAAATTCAAATGATGGGTTTCTCAGTAGCCCTCAGCAAGTTTCCTTTGGATTTAACTGCCATTTAGTCATTGATGCTCCTATGCATTGCTTGGTGCATTTCCATTTTTTATTTTCTCCTGTCATTCCACTTGCTGAATGTATTGAGATTCTGCAAAATGGTTACATCTCTCATTCTTGGTGATCTCTGTGTCTTGGTATCAACCACAGATAACTTGGAAAACATTGCAGCTCCAGTCAAGTGTGTCAGTGTACACCAGGAGAGGGAGGGAAGACGCAGAGAACTTGATGCTGCTGACACACGTTAATGCTTTCATTAATGATAAATCACTGTATCAATAAACACATCATTAAACTGCTGACTCTGCTTTGCTCTGCTTACAGCACGTCACACTTGCGTGCTGTTGTCTCAGATGCAGGGTGCACTTCACCAGGGAGCTGATGTGCTTTCCCAAGCTCTGCTGTATAAAGCAGATACCAAACCTGATGTGCTGCCCTGTCATTAGTAAACAAAACAGTGTTAGAACAACTTTTTAGTTCTCAAGGGCAATAATTGCAATGATAGCTTCAAAAATAACATTGCAGTTCCATGGCAGATGGAATTTGTGAGTGAATATACAGCACAAGAGTAAATTTACCTAAGTATTTGGTTGTACTGAAATAACCTCTTCATTAACATCTAACTAGTCCTTAATATTGCAGTTTAACGCTAGTTAATCACTATTTACACCCTGAGCTCTGGCTGGGAGCTCTGAGCACTGGTCTTTGCATGTACCCTGCTTAAGAGAATGCCTGAGATGGAAAAATTACAGTGAGATTTAACAAAGGGTTACAACTTGCTAATGCTTTTCCAAAAAAAAAAAACAAACCACCAAAAGTGCTGCTGTAGGAATGCTTTAGAAAGCTACTCTTTTACATGTAAAGGCTGAAATACTCACCTCTGCTTTGATTTTTGTGCCTAAAGAAGAGGGCAAAGGAGAACAAATCAGCTCTATAAAGGCCATTTACATCAAGGGTAGAACTCTGCTACACACACTGGCACATTAAATAGCCATCAGGTATTGTTTTCAGCTTCTGGTGGGATTGTGTGTGCAAAACACCAGGGTGACAGGCAAAAAAAGATAAAATTCAGATTAGGCAGCAGGGTCATGATTTTGAACAGCCACAGGAAACTACTTTCAGATGGGAAGGACAGGGCAGGGAGAGGAGCCTTTCAAAGCCCCATTTACCCAAGTTCCTCTTGGCAGGAGATTGCAGAATGGCTTGCGACAACAAGAAAATACCTTGGCCCAGTTAGTGATTTGAACATGAAAGGCTCCTTTCCCTTGCCCTTAGAAACAACCTAATTAATAGTTTCCTAGAGCAGCGTGACTTTGTGACCACAGAAATCTCTACTGGGCAGTGCCTCCCTGGGCTCTGGCAAAATGCAGGAGCCCAGCTCAGTCCCACAACTGCCATTATACACAAATTTGTTTGCACGAGGAATGTGCCAGTCAGTGTACGCACAGGCTGACTGTTTTAAGAATCCTTAGAAGTTGGGGGTGAAGGTGTCATTTCAGAGATGACGACTGACAGCCAGCAAATGTTCAGCTTTATGATCTGAGGCAAATGCTCACTGAGACGCTGAAAGATTTTGAGACCCTGCCTGAGCTTCGCTGAGTTAGTCTTGGCAGAAGCTTTTGATGCGCTTTATAATAAAACAGAAATTAAAAATAAATTTTGAATGTTTGTAAAACTCAGACTTACCGCATCAGGCTAAGCTGAATATATTTCATCTGGATGCGAATCAAAGAAAGTTAGCTGAGTTTTATAAGCAACGTGTAAAAATGTTTTAAATATTCCAACAAATGAATAGACATGAGGAATAATCTTTAGTGGGGTGGGGGAAACAACACAATATCAACATAGTTACGCTACAATTTCTGGGGCTCATCTATAGTAGATATTACCGATTTTTTGGCATAGGATGCTTTCATTAATGAGAAACGACTGTAACAATAAAAACATGATGAGCAGCACAAATAAGGGATTATCTTCATAAGCATGTTGATGTCTGTCTTCAGTTGTACTGGTGCACAGGAGAGCCTGGATTAGCACTCTGTGTCCAAGCTGAAAAACTGTTATCTGAGTATATTTCTTAGAAACTGCTGTTAAAAATGGTTCAACCATAATTATTATTAAACAGGCACCACAAAGAGTGTAGGCCCAGTGGTGTTTAGGCTAAGAAACACTGCTTCAAGTGGAGCCCAACGCAGAGATCTATTCCAGTAGCTGTGTTTGCTGTGGGATCTCTGCAATAAACTGAAGGCCACGGTCAGGCAGCCTATGACTCATGCAATACACCACTTCTAATCTCTCTTTTGTAGAGAAACGAAATAAACCCAGATCTCTTGTTTTCAGACCCCTGGGTAACCCTGAAGGTGGGGAGTTCTCACGACTCACACTATTTTAATGACCCTCGGGTCACTGATGGAATGTCTGACACCCATGGTTGCAGAGCCAGGGGGAAAAGGAAGTGTGAAACGAAGAGTATTTCTTAATTAAAGGATTTTAATCAAGCTGTAACACCTTACAGCAGACACATTTCATAACTTCTAGATCAGTGTTCATGCAAAGATTGACAGACAAATCCAGCCTTGGAAGAAAACATAAAATTTTTTTAATGCTTATTTTTCCATGAAAAAGCTTTACAAGAAGAAAGAGGTTTCACAGGAGAGAAGCGTACATTCTTTAATCACTGTTTATTTGTTGGATTGATATCCGAGGCTGACATTTCTTCTACAGTGTATTTATTTGTTCTTATAATATCACAAGACATTTACCTTTTATTTAAAAAGGATCATAATCCATGAATATTGTTAAGAACACTGTCAGGCAACACTCTCTGTGAAGAATTTACATTACCTACATCAGCTGTAGATGAGTGCTTTCATTTTAATGCTTTAGCATATTTTGTAACCACAAATACAAACCACATCTTTTAAAAGGCTTTGCATCACATGTAATGGAAAAACAAAGGTTTAGTATCTCAAAGAGCAGACAAAAATATCCCAATGTCCACAAAGCAACACTGAAATTCTCAAAGAAAAAGAAAAAAAATTCCTGTCTTTCCTCTTAAACCACATAGAGACATTTATTAAGGTGTTAAGTGCTCAAATGTGACTTTCTTCACTAGTATTACACTGCTGAGATTTTTAAATATCCCAGCATCAGAACCTAAATGAAGATACATGGTTTCACAGTGAGAGAACCTGATCCTTCCTCGCTGTCTCTACACACAACTTTCTGCCATGAAAAGAATCTCTGCTGATCTGTAGAGCAGATGAAAAAAAGTCCAAAACAAAGACCAACCCTCCACCCCTCAAATACCAAGAAGTATCACCTTTGCCCTTCTAGATCAGTGCATGTTTTGCCTTCCATCTCACTCAAACCACAATTTCAGCAAGCTGTTTGAAGTCTCCCTGCCAAGTTTATTCCGAAGTGCACAAAAGAGGTAACAATAGTTTCAGAAGTAAGTTCACAAGACTGAGAGGAAGAAACAACCATATTTTAAAGTATTCTGTAAGAAAAGCAGCCTGACAAATAAGCACCTTAATTTCAACTTAATTCAAAAACATGAAGAAGGAAAACTCTCCACAGTTTTAGAATTAGTAGAATTAAACCCCTGTGAAACTTGCAAACCATGAAATTCAAATACCTTATTTCAATCAGTACTCCAGATTTCTGTAAAGGAACACTTTCAAGTATTGTTACAAAAGGCACTGATATTTTTCCTTCAGCCATCATGATGTAATGAAAAGGCAGAATTTCTGTCACATTGGGCCGAACTCCTGGCCCTAAAGACATTTGCCACTAACTTGGAGCACCTGGATTTCACTCAGTCCCAGTTTTACAACTACTTTATTTTTCTTTATTGATTTCTTTATAAAATCACATAGATCCATCACAGGTTTTAATGATACAATGATTAATGGTACATTAATGGTAATGACTGAGAATGTCTTAATTGTCCTAATTCTACTTTAAAAGTGAAATTAAAAATTTTGAAGTTAAATATTCAACATATAAAACATTTAGCAATTCTGTTCCTCCACTTCACTATCAATTCAAAATTTTTAAAATCTGACACAGGCAACTCTCAGGACTGATTCTTTACATAAATGGTTCAAAACCAGGCATTTCAGTTTAATCAAAAGTTTGGGAAGTAGGCTCTTATTTTTTAAAAAACATCAATTTGGGAATTAAAAATCACATTTGGAATTGTTCTCCTGCTTTCTATGAAGTCTGACAATGGCCAGATGGGTTGAGTTTCTCAGTACCTGGACACAATGGGAAAGAATGCATGTGTGGAATATCACTGTTCTAAATCATGTTGAGTACAGAGCACTAAGTTAAAGTAGATATATAAACAGATTTTTTCAAATGGGATTTCTTTAGCTTACAATGGTCAATATTTCAAAGGAACTAGGCAAGACTTAAAATCCAGCTGCAACTCTTTTGCTTAGCCCTAGAGCCTGCAACTGGACAAAGAGTTCTCTGGTACACTTGAAAGTAATGGACCACCAATGAGGTAAATGAGCAAAAAGTAACTATATCTACACAAACACTCCTCCACTTACACCCAAGTTTTCTTACTTCTCATCTGAGACAGAAGTGAATTACCTGATTACAATTAAGTGCAACCTGCAACAAGACAGCAAATTACATAACAGATAAAGTATTTAATCTATAGCATCAAAGTTTCCTGAAACCAAGAGCCATCAGAATCCCTGCACAGGCAACTCAAGTTTGACGGGATGTTCTGGGACATCTGGAAATAACTTCATGACCTCACTGGACAGAGGTAAAGGTAAAAATTCTGACAGTAGCTGCATCAGTGTAAAGCCTGATGAATCTCACCTGAGGACATAATCTTATTCCAATGCTCCCTAAAACTTGCTGCTTACATCCCCACCCCTAAAGTAGGGCAGGGGCAAGCAGCTGATGGAGGGAATTATCTTTCCTCCTTGGATCCCTCCGTGGTAACAAGATACTGGTTGCATTTCATTGTGGAAACTACAGGAAGAAAAGACAGGCTCAAAAACCTAACCAAAATCCCCATGACAGTAGGACAAAGAAATTAAGATAAACTCGGAATCTTAGTGATAGTGAAATGAAATGGCCAGTCTCTTCGCGAACGAAGAACCGGGGAAGGTCTTTCCACCTTCCAGCCTGCGCATTGGATTTTTTAGGTGAGACACAGTGTGCGCGGAACTGAGCCCACCCTTTAATCCTGAGGTTCATCTGCCGGAGTGTCCCTGGTGGTGCAGTGGCTAAACCACAGCGTTGTCAACGCTGAGATCTGGGTTCGATTCCCGGTTAGGACACTCCCCAGGCAGATGGAGCTCATGAGCCCTGTAAGGCAATCCATCTACGTCCTGAGGACCTCGCTGCCACCGTCCAAGCGTGCTAGTGATAGATGTGCCCAGTCTTGAACAGGAATGAATCCTAATCCTTAATGACAGTCATGATTTTACCCATAGTAGCATAAAAATTATAAAATATAGATCAGCTGCTTCTGCTGGAAGACAGTCATCAAATTTGGTTATATGAACAAAATGGAATGTGAAATGTTAGAAATGTTTTAAATTCATGATCTGTTGATGAATACAAAAACAGATGGGGTGATTTAATTAAAAAATAACCAGATCTCACTTTTAAAAAAACCCCAGCTATCTCCAACTATTTGTCGCCATTCTCACACTTGCCTTTCTCGGGACAGAGAAGCTCCTCTAATCCCTGACAAACTGATTTCAATGAAAATTGTAATGATAAATTCCAAATACTAAATCTTTGCTAACATAAACCAGTAATTTTAATTGATTACATGAACAACTGAGCTGGTAGATTTCCGTGGAGTGTTACTGGGGGGTGGCTGATGAGCTGCTGTACATGATAAATTTTCCTTAGGTAGCACAACTGCAGCCTGGAGAACACATACACACACAATGTGTCACAGCTCCTCTCCCACGTTATATGAGGAAAAATAAAAACCTTACTTTGAGTTGCAAAACAAAGTTTATGAACACACCTCAGTCCGAGTGTAGGTCAAATGTGTCTCTGTGGTAAGTCTTAATGAATAACAGTGATTTAACAAAATTACAGATCCTAAGAATGTACATAAATCTCTGCTATTGTCTGCTAAACTACAAGCCATTTAAAACTAGATGTATCACCTATAGCTGTGTGAAGTCAGACATTTAAAGGTTCCATATATGTAGAAAACCTTGTTAGGAATCAAAAATTCAAGAGAATTTGCGGTCAATAATAGCTCTGTCTTTGCTAAAATAAATAGTCAGTAATTAAATGAACAAAAGAACAAGACCCTAAATGAGAAGAAAAGTCTCTTCATTTTGATCATCACCCTCCTCTGAGCGAGAGATAACGAGTATGTTTTTCTTGATGTTCTCTCAACAAAACAGTTTTACCTGTGGTTTCAGCTACAATATTTGCCTATTAAAATAATAAAAAAAGTGCATTAAGAATATATACAATATACTGGAAGCCATATGCACCTTTTCTCTAAGTAGGTAAGGCATTTACATGATGCTATAAAACTACTTTCTCATGTATTACCCATCTGGTCTGTACTTGCTTTGTACCACGTTACCACTGCATTATGCAAACATAACGCCTGACAGGTGGAAAACCCATGGAGGTCTTCCATGCCTGGTCTTCCAGAAGACCAGGCAAACCACAAACTTTGAAGAAGTGCATCCAACAGAAAAGCTCAAAGTGATGTAAGAATCCAACACACAAAAAAATCAACTAGAAATGTACGTGTAAAATATGTGCCCCTCAAGAGGTTTACACAGTCATCATCCCTACCCTTCTTTCAACAGAAGGGAACAAACTACTAGAAGGATGCTACTGCATTCAAACAATACCAAAAGCTGTTTAAACTAATTACGCTCCCTCTTCGAAACCACATCATCTTTTTTCTAGTCTAATAAAAACTATTGTGCTGCAATTAAATAAAATTTCTAAGACCATTTAATGGAAGTATTAATATATTCATTCAAAAGCAAAAGCTGTCCCAGAAAAGCAAACACTACAACTATAAACTTAAAATGCCACTGAACTCGTTTCCTTTATACAGATCAACCATGAGCAATGCTCTTCAAAGATTTGCCAGTCATTTGTTCCTTTATTAAGGTCTGATGCAAAAACTGTTAAAGTCAGTAGAAAGACATGCTTTGAAAAGGCCTTGACTTACATTTACTGTGAGGGAGAAGTCTGGGAGTGCTGAGCCATACCACCCTGCCTAGAACTTTTATATCAGGAAACACCACAGAGCTAAGTTACCACACAGAGAAGTAGCAGTCATCAGTATATCTGATTTTTCACTATTTAGACAGAGTGGTAACATTTCTTATTTTTCTGTATCATATTTTGAAGATGCCTTCTGGTAGTTAAATGAAATAAATTTCTGTAGCTTGTACATGCCATTCTGCTTGCCTGTCTGGTGAAATTTATGGCACTTGTTTTACTGTAAGAGCATCTTGCAAACCCTGGAGGAAGAAATGGAAACAGGATCCCTAAATATCACAAGTTTTAAAAAAATGTGCTTTTCTAATTACAGAACATTCAAATGTCTGTACACTACAAGTGAAACAGAAGGAGTGACTCTGGGAATGTGTAAGCTGTCCCCTGGACAAACAAAACACAATACTATAATTAAACATTATACACTATAGCTAATTAAATTGAGGAATACAGTCTATCCCCTATGGCAATGCATTAATTAAAAAGTGTCAACAACAAAATAGATGTGTTTTTTTAATTTTTTTTTTTTAAATTTTTAAATAGTGGAATATAGGCAGAATTTGATCTTATCAAATTGAAATAGAAAAATATATCATTCTAGCTGAAAATTTGAGTTGGGGTTGTTCAGCCTGGAGAAGGCTTTGGGAAGACCTCATAGCAGCTTCCAGTGCCTAAAGGAGGGCTACAAGAGAGATGGAGAGGAACTTTTTACAAGGGCATGTAGAGGGGGAATGACTTCAAACTCACAGAAGGTACATTTAGATTAGATATTAGGAAGAAATTCTTTACTGTGAGGGTGGTGAAGCCCTAGCACAGGTTGCTCAAAGAAGATGTGGATGCCCCATCCCTAGAAGCGTTCAAGGCCAGGTTGGATGGGGCTTGGAGCAACCTGGTCTAGTGGAAGGTGTCCCCATGGCAGGGGGGGTTGGAACTACATGATCTTTAAGGCCCCTTCCAACCCAAGCCATTCTATGATGCAATAAAATGAGAGAAAAAAATCCATATGATGAATTACACATTCAAAATAACTAACAAATTGGTTCCTTATTCTGAACTTCTGAAACTAATGCTTGTTTTTTCCAGAGAGCAACAGAAAATTTCTGTGTTATCTAGAAGCTGATCTAAGGTTTCTTGGCTTCTATCCAAAGGTAAACAGGCAAAAAATTATGAAAGACTGAGTTGTGCTAAAGTGTAAAAAAAAAAAAAAATGCCCAAATCAGTTTCTTTACCTTCATCCTTCCAGTAGCATTTGCAATCTGTGAACAAAGTAGCAAAGCTTTTTCATTCTTCAAAATGGCCTGTGAGAATTGTGGGGCTGAAACACTTAATTACGAAAGTTGCTTAAAAACCAAACACAAGAAAAATAATAGTTCAGCCCTTGCCTTACTGACAGGTGAGATAACAACCATTTCTGGTACCACAAAAAACTCTCAGATAGACTGGCATTTCAATGGAAGGAAAAACCACACCAGCCCATATGGCTCCCTTAAAACAAAAGCCTCCCGGGTTCATGACCAATGTTTCAGTCAGCCTTTAAGTAAGAAAAAGCAACAACAACTGATACTGGGGATTTACTGACAAGTGTCATGAATAATGGTGACTGTTTTAGAAAAGACTGTATAAAAATTCTTTCACTACTGTACTTTATCATATATGTGAAAAATACTATCTTCAAACTTAAAACAAAATCATCTTCTCAGAACTGATCATCATGACCAGAGCATGGAGCCTAATCCAACTACCACTGAGGCATGGTGGAAACTCTTCTAATTCAAGTAAGAAACTTGCACACAGACACCACCTCCCCCCATACTCCTGCTACTTACTACGAAAAATGGAGGGAATTTTACTTGCAAAACCTTTAACCACCAAAGGCAGAGTTCTGCAATGCAGTTGAAAGCACCTTACACAAAGGTTAGGTTACCATTTTTCTACCAAAAGATCAGAACCTCTAAAGCTGAATGTAAATAATCCATTATTAAATATACAATTCTGGTTTGGTGGCCACTATTACAAAACCGGGGACTAACAGTGATTTCAAAAGACTCTGAATCAGACTTCAAGAGTATATCATTCTTCACAATATTACATATTTGCAAGACCAAAGACTTCACACAAGTCTTTACAGAGAAATCACAAAAATAGGGAAGTGATTCACCCTGCTTGAAATGGTTGACATTTAATTTTTGCCTTTTAGATATTCAACCATTATCTACCACCTTCTATAAAATGTAAATTGGTATGTATCAGAAAAGCTCCAGCATGGTTTTGTGGTGTTTTTTCTTTATATATATATATACACACATTGCAGAGAGGCACATTCTTTGTTAGAAATCACCATGAAATTCTTCTGTAGAAACTTGAACACTTCCTTTCACAGAAAATTTTCCATGAACCTACGCTCTTCATGTAAGGCGGTCATGCCATTAAAGTTAAAGCAGTTACTCAGTTTGCATAAAATTAAAACTGCACCTAGTTTAAGATGTATTTTCAAAATACATGTGTCATAAATGTCACCACAGAAAAATAAACAAGATACTTCTTTTGCAGACTGGAGAAGGAAACTATTCCTTCCAACATTCTATTAAAATTTAATAAGGGCACAAAAGGACTTTCAAACTGTTAGTCCAGAATGATCTAGCTACTCTAACAGTGCAAAGAACTTACAGTAACATCACAAAGTAACACCAGCTCTTTCAAAAGGACTCTAAAAATTGTTGCTCATTGCTTAGATTGGCAGACATCCAACATGTCCACAACTGGCAGCAGAGTCTACAGTATTACAATGTTATTGCTGCTACTGTAATGCCAAGAAATGAGGTTGTGACGATAAATTT